TGATTTCCTTTCATTCATGAAGGGTATTTTCTCTAGATATAGGATTCTGAGCTAGCAGTTCTTTTCTCTCAGCACTTAAAAAGTATTGTGTCACTTCTTTCCAGTCGCCATGATTTCCGATGAGAAATCTGCTGTTATTCAAACTGTTTTTCCCACATAGGTAAGGTGTCATTTTTTTTCCTCTTGCTGCTGTCAGGATTTTCTTTCTTTTCTTTTCTTTCTTTCTTTTTTTTTTTTTTTGTTTGTTTGTTTTCAGAAGTTTAATTATAATGTGTCTTGGTTTAGATTTCTTCGGGTTTGTCCTGTTTGGAGTTCACTCAGCTTCTATATAAATCTTTAGGTTTATGCCACTTACCAGATTTGGGGAGTTGTCATCCATCATATCTTTGAGTACTTTTTCAGCCCCACCCTCTTTTTCCTCTTTTGTATATTTAGATGGCATGTCATGACAGCTTAGCAAGGATGAAAATTGAGGTTTCCCACTTGGCCTTTGCTGGCAAGTGTGGCCACAGCTTTTCTGTGGAGTTTGGCTAGAAAAAGGCAGTTATAGTCTGGTGGTTTTCTGTCTTTCCTAGTCTTTTGGCTGGAGACAGCAGACTTTTGTTGGGGAATTTTTTTTGTGTGTCTGTTTGTTGTTATTTCTGGATTGCTTGCTTCTTCAGCTCCGAATCTAGGGTATGTGAGGCAAAAAAAAAACAGATAGACAAAAAAAAAAAAAAACTCAGGTAACTCAACTATCATATTATTCCTTGGTTTCTGAGGTCCCTAGCCAACCTGCCTTTCTCTCTTTATCTATCAGAGTCTTGTGTTTTTTTTTTAACATATAATATCTAGGGTTTTTGTTTTGTTTTGCTTTTTAATTCAATCTTTTTCTAATTGGTATGTTATTTTCTTAAATTGAGATATAATTTATATACCATAAAATTCACCGTTTTAAAGTGTATAATACAGAGGTTTTTAGTACATTCACAAGGTTGTGAAAACATCACCACTATCTAATTACAGAACATTTTTGCACCCCATAAAGAAATCCCATACCCAATACCAATTACTTTCCATTCCTTCCTTTTACCAGTCCCTAGTAACCACTAATTATTTTCAGTATCTATGAGTTTGCCTGTTCTGCACATTTTCTATAAATGGAATTATACAATATGTGGTCTTTTGTGCCTGGCTTTTTTCACTTAGCATAATGTTTTCAAGGTTCGCCGTTGTCATAGCACGTATCAGTATTTCATTCCTTTTTATTGCCAGATAATATTCTTTTGTATAACTGTTCCACACTTTGTTTATCCACACATCAGCTGATGGACATTTGGTTTGTTTATACTTTTTGGCCATGATGCTGCTATAAACATTAGTGTACAAGTTTTTGTGTGAACATATGCTTTCAGTTCTCTTGGTTATATACCTAGGAGTTGAATTGGTCATATGGCAACTCTGTTTAATTTTTTGAGGAACTATCAAACTATTTTCCAACGCAGCCACATCACTTTGCATCCCTATCAGCAGTGTAGGAGGGCTCTATTTTTTCCACATCCTCAATAATGTTTATTGGTGTCCATCATTTTGACTATAGTCATCATTGTGGGTGTGAAGCGATATCTCATTGTGGTTTTGATTTGCATTTTCCTAACAACTAATGATGTTGAGCACCTTTTTATGTTCTTATTGGCATTTGTATATCGCCTATGGAGAAATGGCTATTCAGACCATTGGCCTGTTCTTTAAATTGTGTTATTTTTCTTTTTATTGTTGAGTTAGAATAGTTCTTTTATATATTCTGGATACTGGACCCTTATCAGAAATATGATTTGCAAATATTTTCTCCCATTTTATGGGTTGTCCAGGGCTTTTATTTTGCTTAGCTGGAGGAATAGAGAAAAATACATCGACCTCATCTTCCTGAAAGTGGATGTCCCAGAAACTGCTTTTTAATCTCTTCGGAAGGGCCAAAGTGTGCTTTAGTGCTTAAAACTCAAAAGTATTTTAAAGTCAGTGTGAGAAAGAAATCTTATTCTATCATTCGATTTCTGTTGTTGTTTCAAATTAAGAAATTATCTTAAAGTCAATCTAGGGGAAAGATTTTAATTTTTTTTCCTATGCATTTTTATAACTTATCTCCCTGTGCATTCAGTACTGAGGGTTATGTGACCTGATACAGATCTCTTCAGCCTTCTGGATAGCCATCAGGGTCTGAGATAGCGCAAATCTGTGTTCCGTTCAAATATTGTCACTTGTATGTGTGCCATGAGGTGAAATGGATGAAGAGTCTGGTTAAGAAAACATAAGAGTGACCTTATAGCCTAAACAAGCGTAAGGAGTTCCCATCTGTGGTATGTTTTTACACTGTGCAGTCAGAGAAGTGGAAATTGACACAGGAACGAGTCAGCATTTCTCATTTTAGGCTAAATAGATGAGTCTCTAATCTTTTCTTACCAAACAGTGAGCAATTCAGAGTTCATCATGAGAAATCAAGAATTTTGTGGTGTCTCCTATCTTCACCTAAATCACCTTCTGAGTTCTTCCAAGACTGATATCTTCTTCCTGGGTAAAGATTAGTTTTTATTTCTATACTTTTGATTCTACTTCTCTTCTAAACTCGAACACTGATGTATAGCCGAGGCTAGAAATATCAGAATTATTTTGAACTTCAAGTATTTCTTTTGTTCCATAGGTGCCTGGGTGTATGTAACCAGCTCCCCAGCATTGCCAGACTGTGCCATGAATGGATTCTGCTGCTGATGAAATCCTGGCGGCATTTGGTTCAGTCTCCACCGCAGGGTTCTCGTGTATTCTCAGCACCCACTCTGGGTTTCTGTTCTGCTCACCACAGGCTGGTTAAGGAACACTTCCCAGACCACAGGGCTCTCCCTTTGTTAGGCTCCTACACTCTTCATTACCCTCTCATTTCAATCTATATTCAGTCTAATTTCAAATTTCTTTAGCTTTCTAAAATTCCGTGGACTTTCTCCGCTCAGCCTTTTCTAGCCTTATTTTTTAAATTCACTTTACTTTTGTTATCGCTACATAAACTAGTCATTTTCTTTTTTCTTCTTTAGTTTTTACTTTTCCTGAATTTTTGCTAATAGCCTTGATCTTCAGCAGTCAAACTCATTACAGACTAGGTACTCTTCATTTTTTTTGGTATTTAATTCTGTTTCTGATGTCAAAGGAAGAAATGTATGTGAAAGCTTTTTATAAACCAGAAAGCACTATACACTCGTATAACTTATTGAGATTAACAAAGGACCACTGTGCCTCTTTTCACGCTTTCTGCTCCTTCTGAGCCAAAAGAACTTCTCCATAGAGGGAAATATTGAAGAAAAATAAAGCAATGGAATTGTCTCTTAGCAACCGAGTTCGTGCCTTATAAATCTTACTTTAGATTACTGCTGCTCAAAATCACTTGCTTTTCTTACTGGCTCAGTATAAATAATGTTATTAAATTACGGGAAAACAAAGGAAAAAATCTAATGAATGAGTCACTCAGTTCATCGATTGTACTCTATCTTTGCATAGCACTATTGAGATAGTTGGGTTGTCTCTTTCTCTTGATTCAAATGATAAAACTTTTTTTTATATATCTTTTGTCGCAACTTAAGTTATAGACTAAGTAGAAGCTAAATACTACCTTCTACATTTCTAGGTTACCTGAGTCCTGAAACAATATGGGTCATGTAGGTAGTATATAACATACTGTATATAAATCAAGTTATGCATAGATGAAACAAAATTAGATGTACAAAAACTCAAACCAAATTGGGTAAGATTATTTGCATGATAAAATAATTCATTATAAGGATTCATCAAATAATAGATCTTCATACTATATTTCATTTAGCAAATATTTTTGAGTGCCTCCTACACTAGACAGTTGAAGGGATAAAGGGGTGTGTGTGTGTGTGTGTGTGTGTGTATAGTCTCGGTCTTTTGTTATAATAAGGTAGATAAGATCTGCACACAAATAAGACAGTACAATGATAAACACCTTTTGAGCGGTAAGCCAAGAGCTATAGAGGTTCAGAGGAAGGAAAGGTCACTCCTAGCTGGGTGAGCTATTACGATTATATCGATAGGAAGGGATAAAGGTGTGTGTGTGTGTGTGTGTGTGTGTAAATAGTCTCGGTCTTTTGTTATAATAAGGTAGATAAGATCTGCACACAAATAAGACAGTACAATGATAAACACCTTTTGAGCGGTAAGCCAAGAGCTATAGAGGTTCAGAGGAAGGAAAGGTCACTCCTAGCTGGGTGAGCTATTACGATTATATCGATAAAGTGACATGTTAGAGAACCGAAGACTAACCCAAGAGTTTGTCAAATTTAGTAATTAAAGCAAAATTGAAGAGGTAGGTAAGATGTAGGTGCCTTCATCACTAGAGCTAGGAGTTTAAACTTTAGCCAGCAAGCGGTGGGGAGCCACTGACATTTTTCTTTTCACCAAAGTCTTATCTAGGAAAATTTATCTTACAGTAATGTGTAATTTCAATCTTTTCTAAAAAATTGGTTCACTGATGGTCTTTTAGTCTCTTTTTTGTATAAAACAAAGGTGTGTTTATAAACAAGTCAATTGTAGAATTGATCTATTTCTAGTCCCTTTAAAAGGTAGTCAAAAAACTATTTTTGGATAAAATAGATCTGGTAAGATCAGCTGCTTAGTTAAGATGTAAGCATACGAAATAGGGTAAAATACTACTTTTCATACTTTCTAAAATCATGTTTAGGGAATTTTGGGTCAATTAGTCAGCCATTCCACTGTCTCATTTCTCCAGCTGAAACAATGCAGAAATCCTCAATTTTCTTTTTTTCTCCCTTCTTGGCTACCTTGAATGTCTACAGAGAAAAGGGCTTCTTGTCAATAGCCTTCTTAGATTTGTTCTTAATTTTGCCAAATATTTGTATACCTCTGCAAAAGACTTTTGTTTCCCTGCCTGGTCCTTTAGTGAGAAAACAAACAAACAGAAGTGACAGCCTGCCTCACAGGGTTGTTTAAGGCACTTGCTGGTACAAGACGAAGTGCTGTGTAATTGCTCTGAAAATATTGATAATTGGTTGAGAAATGGATTTTAGACATTTCTGTTAGTGGAAACCGTTATAGATTGGAAATGCAATGTTTTAATAATGAAGACTATATAATAAGGTTGGCTATTGTTTTCCATGCGAAATATGCTTCGGGGAATTTAGAGCATAAAATGGTTCCCACCTGCTACTATTAAGGAAGTAACACTTTCTACATATTTACCTCACAGCGAAATCGTGTTTTTTTAAAAACAACACAACTAGAGAAGTGATGTATTTTCGTAAGCCGTGTTAGAAACCAGGAAGTTGGGAATACTGCTCCTGGCTTAGTTATTTATTGCTGTGTCAGTGGACAAATCAGTCTCTTTTTGTTTTGTTTTGTTTTGTTTTTGGTACCTCGATTTTCTGATGAGACTGCCTGAAGCTGCCCTAGCCAAAAGAAGCTGCCACGTCAACAACATGCAACTGTAGGGGACTCAGGAACAAAAGCTACTATGTAAAATAGTTTAAGAATAAGATTGCGGGATGCAAAACAGCACAGTTTGCCCTGCCTTCCCCCACTGCATTGACCTTCGAGCTCCTGTGTGAGTTCAGAGTTGCAGGGGAGAGGGATGTGTGTCTAGGAAGAATTCATGGTGTCCGCTTTGGAGAACTCGCACGTCTCAAGTCAGTTCCAGCCTGAAGAACCTAAAGAAGATAATATTTGGTTCTAATCCTGGTCTTTGGTGTTATTTGGACCTCTTCTGAGACATTCTCAGTGTCTCTTTTGAGTCTACTCAGGCAGTTATGTCTCTGAGCTTTTGGAAGGATATAGTCTGGCTCTAGGACGAAACTGAGTTCTGATCCAGAGAATGTGTGTGTCTTCAGATGAAAAAATTTTTTATTACTCAATGTAATTTCACTCCATGATGAATTCATGGTAAAGATTTAATAATAACAAATGATATAAGTTGTGTTTTGAAAATGTATTTTGGGTTTCCAAGCAAGACTTTTCTTTCTCTGCTTCTGACTTAAACATGAAGAAAAATTCAGAATAGTCCTTAAAAATATCAGTTCATGCCATTATTGGCAGCATTTCTTTTATCTGAAGTCGGGACTGGATCTGACTAGCTTCTTTCAAGGCTTAAAAGTTAGGGGCACAATTTTAGAAATTAGAAATTATTTTGAATATTTTCTTTCTTTGTTATACTTTTTAGGTGCCATATAGAGCTTGCTGTGTTGAACTGAACCAAACCGAAGCATGCCAGTAAAAAATAATCACCCCTGGCTTGAGAACTAGACTTTATTCAGAAACCAGAATGATCCTGGCCCAGTTTTAATGTATGAAAACTCTCCAACCCACGTTGGCTAGAACCTAGTATTGTAGAACCAGGCTATAAAACACGAGTGCTGGGGACTCTCTGCATTGCGGGAATCTACTGTTATTTCTCAGCAAATCAAATCCATGGTATATCTTAGTGTATAGACTGTGTGGTCTAGTTCAGGCTGCAGCATCAGCATGAATAGTGGAAGGCCAAGTTCAAGAAAGAGGGAAACCGCAAGACTAAACAGAGAGGAAAGGGTTGCTTGGGTAGCCACAACAGCACATTTTAGACATTCAAAGATCACTGCTTCTTCTCTGCATAGCTTCCCCACAAAAAGATTATGGGGGAGGGGGTATAAAAGGAGGAGGAAAGCCTTGACTCAGAAAGAAAGAAAAAAATATCTACATCTATATATATATATATATGTGTGTGTGTGTGTGTGTGTATGTATATACACACACACACGTATATATGTATATGTGTACACACACACATATATATCATTACTGCCTGGGACTTTAATGTTTATTGGGTGTGTACCCCAGCTTAAAGACATTTAACCAAAACATTTCCCTCGATTCCTCATCTTTCAATGGTGCTATGTAATCCAAAAGACTATTACTGTGTGTGGCCCATTTGTCTCCTGTAGTTATGAAAAAACAGGCCAAGAAAGCTTAGGGAATACTTGTACTCCATTCTATTTTCACAGTGTTACTCATTTCCTTTCATTAAAAGCATATCTAAACTCCTTATTCTCTTTTTAGGTAACAGTATGACTAAATACACTGAGAAGCTAGAAGAGATCAAAAGAAGTGAGTAACACTATTGATGGGCTGGGATAGTGGAGCCCTGTAGTCATCCGTAAGATGGTTATTAACAGCCCTGGCCTTCCTCTGGGGGGAGTCAGGTGAGATGGAAGGTGCTGAGAAAGATGTGGGAAACACTGCACCATCCCCGTTAGCTGCTAAGATTGTGGCTTGTGGGTCGAGCCCGGCCTGACTTAGATCCCATAGGAGATGTTCATGTTGGAATATGGAATGAGCTCTAGTTAAGCCGTGAGAACTGGCTTCTAGTTTCATTGTACTGCAGTCTTTGTGGCCTTTTCCAAGGTACTTAATCTTTCCTGTTTTATTTTCTCTATACCTGAGGTGGGAGTAATAATAGCTCTCATTTCATAACACTCTTTTGAGTATAAATTCAACAGTATTCATGAAAGACTGAGATGTGAGAAAAAGCTTATTCTTAAAGTGGTGTTATGTATTATAAATTCACTGCAGTCTGCTTTCTTTTAATTAAAAATCATATTTCACGCACATCTTTTTTAAAAACGAATCTTCTGCAAAGATATGCTACTAGCCATTGAATGCATCGCCCTTGCACAAAATCATAATATTTCAATCTGTCTCCAAAACGGATGTAAAATGTACACATCAAGGCCAAAATTAAAGAAGTAGAAACATCTATTTTCTAAGATGGATTTGCTTGTATCTTCAATAGGAGAACACAGTGTAAGTAAAGTATTTAGCTAATGCTGGTAAAGAGGTACTGTGACTGATAACAGCTCAGGATTTGGCTCTGGTAATATACATCTTCTGGGAAGAGACTATTACAAATCCAGAATTCACCAGAACTTTTGTTTTTACACAGCAGGCCTTTTAATTTAAATGATAATGTTTCTGTTCCTTTGGAACTGCTGAGAAACCCCACTTAATAAGTGTGGACTCAGGAGCAGCTTTCTGCTGACTCTGTTATTTGCGTGGTTCAGCTATAAGGGCTAATGCTATAGACGTTTGTTTTTTAATGTATAATGTCACTATAGCCTTTTATTTTCTTCTTATATATCTATTTTATATTTTATACATTATATTACATTTTATATTAGGTAAGTATATATATTTTAAGTATGTATTAAAATTTTAAGCTACGAAAAAGATCTCATTTACTCACCTAGGCTTCATTGTTGTTGTCCTTAGTTCATCCACCCATGGCAGGCAAAATTCAGCTGGCCTGCTTCACATTTGGTTTGTAGTCTCTTTCACCTCCTACCCATTCGTAGCTGGGTGTAAGCTCACATGGCCACACCAAAATTTGTCCCATAAAAATGTCTCGTTCCACCTAGGTTGCTGAAACCCTGTTTAAAACATTTCTTAAAAGCACAATGTAGTTTCTTTAATATCTGAACTTTAAATGGCGCTTATCTTCCCCAAATAAATACCTCTGGAATAGAGTCCTTGAAAATGCTTGCTTCCCTCTTTTTAGAAGTCGTGGGCTTCCTTTTAGTAAGACAGGAGGTGCCTCTCACCTTGTTTCACACACCTCGTACTGATTCCCTGACTAGAATTACTTCAGATTCTGGTTTGGGATCTACATTTTGGAAGCTCTTTCCTTCTCTTTTCCCATTTTCTGTTGTAGGTGTTCTTTTGGGTCAAAAGGGAAAATAATATTGCCTTGTTTCATGATACCCTAGACCCATCACTTCTCTCAGATTACCTTAGATGCCATGTCTTTCTGTGAAATCACAAACGTTGTTCTGTTACTTCCTTTGATTTGTCTTCTACTGTGAGCCCAACTTCCCTTTGCTAATAACGTGTTTTAACAGAACTCTGAAAATGCAGAATTCCTTTGTAATCTGAATATTCTTTCAACTCTGCCCAGGGAAAATAGACACTCTGTGTCTATTGAGCGTTTACAAAGCCTGTTCTTGGCTTCTGGTACTTAGATGACACTGGTTGGATCCAATGTGAAACATCCTAGATAGTCAGGTCTCTGTCCTTCCAGTAACTCGAGAGAGACAGACTTAGACTCCAGACTTACTGGAGAAGCAAAAGTTGATAACATTTTTGAAACTAGGGTTATTTGTCTCCATCACGGAGTTTGGGAGAAGCTGCAGTAGCAGAAGCTCCATTCTTAAAGCTCTGTTCGCTCTTGCAAGGACAGACTGACAGAGCCTTCCAAGTCATCCTTTTATAAACTTTAAAACTTACCTTCACACGTCTAGTCTGATCTTTTATCTCTGAGTAATAATGTCAGAAAGTCCTAATGATGGCTGTCCTTCTAAACCAGAACCAGGTATGTAGCGTTCAGGCTCAAATGTGCAGTGGGATTTCTAGTGCTCGTGAGAGGACACTAGAAATGCCAGTCATTAGAATATAGCAGAGTCTATGTTTTGTTTGAGGTCATTTCTACTGCGTTAAAGGGGATTTTAATGTGTACATTTTGTACTTAGAATGTGAAGAATTGGAGAAGTATTTCAGACAATGTAGCTATACCAAAGGAATACCAGTGGATAAATGACACAGTGCAAACTACTTCACTGTTTTCATTGGCTGATTTATTGCCGTGTTGATTTACATAAATGATTTTTGGTGGGCAGGTTGGTGGCAATTGAGGGGAATACTGTAGCTATTCAGTTGCACTTTTTATAGCTTGTGCTCAGCTATTCGGGTCTGTATCCTGGCGGGTTTTAGAAGCTCACTTGCATGTGGGTTTGTTACCTTGTTGTATCCAGGGGAAATTATTTTATGAATTTTCTAGAAGTAATGGTCAGTTATTAGCCAAATTGTTCTCTCTAAGACGTTTTAGAACAGAGAAGCTTTAATTTCCTGTAAGAGAGTCTTGATATATTTACAAAGGCTAGTTTTTAAAGTAATATCATTTCCTGACTGAGTTGTAAGTTGTTTGGTAAAGCAAGCTAATGGTATCCTCCAGAGTAACTATCCAGTCTGTACTGGTTTTTTTGGAAAATTCATGGAAATGATTAGTTATACCAGGTACACAGTCTTAAATACCTTTAATCCTTTCCTTTGTTGCTAGGAGTCTTAGCTTATGAGACATTTATGCCGTGAAAGCCACAGTAATTATCCAGCTAGCCTTTAGTGATTCTGAGATAATGAAGCATTCTTTAAGGAGTCATGGGCTCCGACATACAAACCTAGAACAGGAGTGAAGGGTAAGAGTGGGCTGGAGTTCAGCGCTGAAAACTTCAGAATTGGCAGTCATCTTCAGAAAAGTTTAAGGAAACTAACTTTTAACGTGCTTCTGTGGGACAGATAGTAGATGAAGTGAGATTGGCTAGATTTTAACTGTTTAATGTGATATGACAAATTATTAACATAAACAATTGCAGAAATACCATAAAGATAGCACTGAATACATATTGATGTTTTAGGTTGATTTTTATTTTTTTAATTGTAAGAAAACATACCATAAAATTTACCATCTTAACCATTTCTAAGTATACAGTTCAGTAGTTAAGTATATTCACATTGTTGTATAGTCATCTCTAGAACTTTTTCATCTTAAAAAACAGAAGAGGTTGACTTTTATTGAGGTGGAGTTGAAGAGAAACTGGTACAAAAGGTTATCGGACCAATCATTACTTTTTGCCCAGCATTATACCCCAGGGGGAAAAAGTGTTGCCCTGTGTCTCTAGCATAGTTTGTCACCTCAGGAATATAATTGTTTTCTTTTCAGGGTAGAGTTAGAATAGTAAGGTGTAAATTTCTTTCCAGCTCTTTGACCTGGGGTAACCCAGCTCTGGGTCTCTGTCCTCATTTGTAAAATGTAGACGTTATTCCCTGCTTTGTTCTGAAAAAGATTTAAAGCAGCTTACAAAAATGCATGTGATACAATGTGGCAAAGCAGAGACAGCATAATAAAAGGAAAATGGTAGACTAATAAAATAAAGGCAAAGGATAAAGTCACTAGATACAAAAAGGTGGCTTATCAATTCAGCTTTAGGGTTCCTATTGGCCAAAACAAAGGAGAAAAATGAAGAAATGATATAATACTTGGCACTTTTAATTTTGAGGATATCATGCGGATCAAATGAGGTAATATATGTAAATCATATGTATAACTTGAAATATATACCATACAACTCGATGACTAGAAAGAACTAGTAATACCTTAAGAAAGCAAAATAAACCTAGAAAAATAATTGTCCTGTCCTGCTTTTCAGATTATAGATACAAGAAAGATGAGCTTTTCAAAAGACTAAAAGTTACAACTTTTGCCCAGCTGGTAAGTTTAATGATCTTCCCCCGGAATAGAGACTGTCTAGTTTGTGCTGCTTTACGTGAGTATTTCTGAATTCAACTCTAGGTAATGTTTGCAGAGGGTATTTTTCTGATTCCTTATATTTCACTTGTTCAAGGATTAATTGGTGTGTGGTGTGTGTGTTCATTTGAGGATGGTGTGAAAATTTTCTCTTTTCTTTGATAAAAATTATATGAAGTAAAAATTGCATTCTACTTTTAAATCATAAAATTTGTGGTTTAATTTAGATTTTTTCTTTTCCTCGTCCAGTGAATATTTCAAATCTAGAATTCTGGACTCTGGACTGTTTGGGCATTTTTCTCTGTGAAAATGAGGTGATCTCCCTTCTGTTACTGAGCTCTTTTTCCAAGTCCTTCTGCCTTGGGTTATTTTGCTACTTTGGCAAAGTCACTTTCTTCTTTCTTTTGAAAATGATGAACAGAGTATCTCTCTGGCCCCCAAACAAGAATTCCATTGATGAAACCCAAGGTGGATCTTAGGTCTTATCAGCTAAATTATGAACAGTGCTTTAAAAACTGTATGTAGGTATACATTGTTCTAATCAATATACTCACAATTACATTTATTTCTTCACTGCATGAAGAATTGTTTGCTGATACAATTCTGTTATTGTAAATGTTGCATTTTCAAGAAATAACATGCTGTGTTGGGACTAGAATATATATGGATGCAGTTTTTAGACTCTTATTCATGTTTCTTGTCCTAAATTACCCTTTTGGTCTTTTAAGTTTATTGTGTAATATTTTAAATGAATCTTTTCTTCTAACATGATCATCTACAGTGTAATTACCACTCCCTAAGTAAGGAGACCTGAGGTTTAGTCTCCAATTGAGGACACTGACAGTTTCCTAAAACAAGAGATCTTTGATGTTTCCTCATCTTTTGTAAAAGACAGAATTGCCTCTGTTTAAAGACAAACAAACATACACACATCTACACATGTCATTCTTTTTTCTCTCAGGTCATCCAGGTTGCTTCCCTATCTGATCAAACACTGGAAGTGACAGCTGAGGAGATTCAAAGACTAGAAGGTAATGAGAATTGAGGATGCGGGGAAAATAAGGAATTGACCATTTGACTGAAGTACTCACCCTGTGCTGTTGTGTTCACAGGGACTAAGACTTTGATGTATCCATTTGTAATTAGACTGTTACTCTCTGCGAAGTGCTGTCTGGGGTTTTAATTGTTAATTCTTGTTTTTTGGTTTTTTTTTTTTTAAAAAGCCATCTGGATTTCTGGCTCTGACATTTGTTTTAAATGTTTTAGATGGTTTAATATACTAATTACTTTTTTCAACAAATATTTTTCATTTTTTCTATATAGTACAGATCACAGAATTAGGTGCTATGAGACTACAAAGATGAATGAAACACAGCTCTGTGTCCCGGGAATTTGTAGTCGCGTGTGTGCATGTGCATATGTGTGTGTGCACATTAGGTGAGGAGAATAACAGAAATACAAAATTACTACCATGGCAGAAATTCCTAATGGAAGACTGAAAGAAAACCATCATTTGTTGAATATGTATTGCTACATATTTCACATGCATTTTCTTATTTAATCTTTCCAAAAACTCTAGAAGGAAGGTACACTTTACAGATGAGAAGCCCAAACCTCAGAGTTTAAATGACTTGCTCAAGGTGATACAACCAGTAAGGAATGGACCTAAGATACAAATCTTTGCCTTCCATAGCAACCGGTGTCTTCGCTATGGAAGTTCCGAGGAAGGAAAGTTATTTTCCAATTAGAAAACAGATAGACTTTCTTAAGGCTTTTGAACTGGACGTTAAGGGTGAGGCTGTTGCAGGCTGAGGAGCAGCCTGACCAGAGGAATGGAGAAGAAAAAGCTGCAAGCGTGTTTGAGGAATCACGTAATCCAGTCTGGCTGTGGTCTGAGGTGCCTGGTAGGAGATAAGGCTAGAAAGATAGGTAGGCTCCAGATTTCCTTTCTTAAATACCAAGTCGAAATAAAACCTCTTAGTTGTACTCTCATGAAAAGAATACACAGAGTTAAGGTCTTTATTTTATCCTGATACTCAACAATCAATGTGTGGCTGTTTATTGAAGGGGAATGTGTTTTGTTAAAGCTGATGTAGGCCAGGAATTTGACTTCTGATTTCAAGACAAGTTTCTCAGGAAGTCTGAACACTGGGTTTGTGCAACTCAACTGTCATTTCCCTGGGCTTGTTTTTGTTAAAGAGGATAAAGAGAATTTGAAAAAGCCAGGAATTTATCTCTGACAGATGCCTCTCACACGGCAGAGAAATAAGGGCTCTTTGTAACAGAGATAATTGAGTCTCCTCATACAAGTACTCCCAATTTTAACCTAGTTATATAAGTACCTGGATTGGGTCTTTTCATTCATTATAGAGATTTCAGCGCCAGGACATATGGGCAAATGCAATTTTCTCCTCTGAGATAAATTTACACAGCAAAATAGGCTCTTGTAAAATAGGACGCCATAACGTGTGAGTGATATTAGTGTTTTCTGGTGCTCTA